CCCTACCACACACACACACACACACACACACCCCCAACACACACACACACACAGCCCCAACACACACACACACACACACACACACAGCCCCAACACACACAGCCCCAACACACACACACACACACACAGCCCTAACACACACACAGCCCCAACACACAAGCGCGTGTGCTTCCTGAGTCACCATCCCCAGAGGGCTGGAGGGCAGGGTCTGCATGTCTAGAAGACCCTGTAGGCAGATTGCCCCACGGGGGGCAGCTGTGGGTCCTGCCAGCCCACTCTCTGGCAGGGGCGGGGCTAGAAACCTTGTTTCTGTCGATTCCCCAACTGAGGGGGTGGGCGGACACCTCCTCCTGAAAGTGCAGAGCCCCCTGGACGTTGAGGACAGTGGCAGGGGCTGTACAGCATGTGGAGGAGGGGCAGGAAGGGAGGCTGAGGGGGAGCAGCCTTGGAGAAGGAGCCCGGGTGGGCTGAGGGGCTCCAGAGCTGCCCCCGTCTCGTCTCTGCAGCCCGCTGGTCTCAAAGGCCCGTGCTGCCTTGGCCTCCGCCTGCCTACCCTCTCTGCCCGAAGCTGGATGTGTCAGTCACCTCTCTGAAGACTCCCTCCTGCTCCCCTGGGAAGGCTCTCAGCCCCTGGACTCGAGTCAGGCCCCCTATCCTCACCCCCTCCAGTTAAGTGCGACCTTCCCCATGTGATGCCAGGCTCGGCTGTTTCTGTGGGCACTCCAGCAGCCCTGCCACACTGGCCACCCTGGTAGCGGGGACCCTGGGTAGGAGGGGAGTGGACCTCCTGGGTAGGAGGGGAACGACTGGGGGCAGAGTGCTGGGGAGGGTCTTCCTTGGCAAGTAACAGTGCAGGGGCGGGCAGGCCACCCTGGGCTTCCTGACCTGGCCCTCCTTTCCTGGCAGCCCGCCTGGAAGCCGTAGCTCCAGACTTTCACAGGACATGGTGCCCGCCAGTTGGAAGGGCAAGACAGTGGAGTCCCGCCGTGAGCAAGCCAACGTCTCCTCTCTAGATGGGGCAGCCGGATTGGTCCTGCTCTGCGGCCTAACTAGGCCGGGTGGCTGGGGCATCCCCAGCGGAGTGAGGGCGAGAGCAGTTGGTGGCCCGGTGTGCTGTACCGGCCTGCCCTGCATGGCCACTCTCCCTTGGAGAGGAACAGAACTAGCCCTCGCTGCCGGCTGAGGTGGAGACACAGCTGAGGCGGCCACTGGCCCAGCACTGATGGCTGAGGACTGGGCGCCCTTGCCCAGGGTCATCAGGTCCCGCGTTGGCTGCTTCTGGGGGAGATGGAGCGGATTGTGGTCACTGGTCTGTCGCCTCCTCCTGTGCTTTGGCGTTTGGCGGAAGAACTCAAGCTGCCCTAGGGATTGCCGGCCTGGGGCCAACTCGTGGGGGCGGCCTGGGCGGGGACTCAGAGCAACGGACCCAGCGCTCGCCTCTGGGGAAATGTCCCCTCTCCGACCCCACCGCCTCCACGGAGCAGCATGCCCCGCCCCCTGCCCCCTCCGGGCCACAGAGGCCTGGAGCGGCCTCGGCCCACCCAGGGCCGCCCCACCGGAGGACCTCCGCGCCCCTACCCCCGGGTCACGCCCGGAAGGTCCAGAGCCCCCGCGTCCGGCCACACCATCCGCCGGGCGGCCCCAGGGACTCTGCCGCCGAGGTCAGCCCAGCCTCCGGCCAGCGTGCCCGCCCCCTCCAGCTGGGCCCACCCAGGGCCGCCCCACCGGAGGACCTCCGCGCCCCTACCCCCGGGTCACGCCCGGAAGGTCCAGAGCCCCCGCGTCCGGCCACACCATCCGCCGGGCGGCCCCAGGGACTCTGCCGCCGAGGTCAGCCCAGCCTCCGGCCAGCGTGCCCGCCCCCTCCAGCTGCAGGGGCCCGGGACCGCGCCCCCGCCAGGGCTTTCGGT